TTTGTCCCCTTCTGCTTCCCCCTCTCCCCTGCTTGATTTCCAGTGACTTTTACTTTATGCATTTGTTTGCCTGTCAGTTAGTTCCAATTTATTAGAGAGTACATGTGGTGTTTGGTTTTCCATTCTTGAGATACTTTGCTTAGGATCCAGTTCCTTCTAAATTATAGCAAAAGGCATTAATTCATCCTTTTTTATGGCTTAGTAGTACTTCATGGTATACATATACCACATTTTGTTAATCTACTCATGAATTGATGGGCACTTGGGTTGATTCCACATCTTTGCAATTGTGAACTGTGCTGCAATAAACATTCAAGAGTGGTGTCTTTTTGATAAAATGACTTCTTTTCCTTTGGGTAGATATCCTGTAGTGGGATTGCTGGATCAAATGGTAAGTCTACTTTTAGTTCTTTAAGAAATCCCCATACTGTTTTCCATAGGGATTGTACTAATTTGCAGTCCCACCAACAATATATGTGTTCCTTTCACTCTGCATCTGCGCCAGTCTCTATTGTTTTTGGACTTTTTAATAAAAGCCATTGTAACAGGAGTAAGGTGATATCTCATTGTGGTTTTAATTTGCATTTCCCTGATGTTTAGTGATGTTGAGCATTTTTTCATATGTTTGTTGGCCATTTGTCTATCTTCTTTTGAAAAACTCTGCATGTCTTTTGCCCACTTTTTTTTTTTTTAAATTTGGCACCTTTTTTTTTTTTTTATTTCAGCATATTATGGGGGTACAGATGTTTAGGTTACGTATGTTGCCCTTGCCCCCGCGCCAAGTCCGAGTTTCAAATATGTCCATCCTTCGGGTGGTGCGCATTGCACTCTTTGTGTATGCAAATACCTGTCCCCTCCTCACTCCTCCCCCCTCCCCCTCCCCCTGCCCAACATCCAATAGATGTTATTCTTATATGTGCATTTATGTGTTGATCAGTTAATACCAATTTGATGGTGAGTACACGTGGTGCTTGTCTTTCCATTCTTGGGATACCTCACTTAATAGAATGCATTCCAGCTCTATCCAGGAGTATACAAGAGGTGCTATATCACCATTGTTTCTTAAAGCTGCATAGTACTCCATGGTATACATATACCACATTTTATTAATCCACTCATGTTTGCCCACTTTTTAATGGGGTTGTTTTTTTCTTGCTGATTTGTTTGAGTTCTTTATGGATTTTAGATATTAGCCCTTTATCGGATATGTAGTTTGAGAGTATTTTCTCCCATTCTGTAGGTTGTCTATTCACTCTGTTGACTATTTCCTTAGCTTTGCTGAAGCTTTTTAATTTAATCTTAAGTCCCATTTATTTGTTTTTTTTGTTGCGGTAATTGTCACTGGGGTCTTAGTCATACATTCTTTGCCCAGACCAATATCTAGAAGTTTTCGCTACATTTTCTTCTAGTATTCTTATAGTTTCATGGCTTACATTTAAGTCTTTCATCCATCTTTCTCTTTAACATTTCATGAACCCCTTTTTATTTCTTCCAGCTTCACCTAGACACTCTGAAATCATGATTTTCATTAAAAATATTTTTTTTAGAGACAGGGTCTCTATTGTCCAGTCTGGAGTGCAGTGGTGCAGTCATAGCTCACTGCAACCTTGAACTCCTGGAACCTTCCACCTCAGCTTCCTGAGTAGTTGAGACTACAGGCATGTGCCACCACGCTTGGTTAATTTTTAAATTTTTTATATAATGGGGTCTCGCTGTATTGCTCAGGCTAGTCTCAAACTTCTACCCTCAAGCAATCCTCCTGCCTTGGCCTCCCACAGTGCCGGGATTACAGATGTGAGCCACCATGCCTGGCTTCTGGAATCATCTTTGAATCATCTTTTTTCCTTCATTCCATTCTATTATATCTTCCTTTAGAATGTCTCATATTTTTCATTCTCTATTTTTTAATAGTATGGACACTCATCATGTCAGCCTGGATTGATAGTTTCTTAGCCAATGTTTTCTCTAGTTTTTATTCACTCTTTTTGCCAGACTAAGTTTACCATATTACTGGTTTAATGTATCAGTTTTATGTGCCTGACATACAGTAAATACTTAGTATATGTAAGAAGGAATGTTAGATTAAATAGTTCTCCTTTGCCTACCAAGTTAAATCCCAGACTTCTTCAGTAGGCTTTCCAGAGCTTCCATGGTGTGGCCAATTCTACATATTCAACATTGTTTGCTACTGTTTCCTATCAAGCATCTTCCTTTCTATTTTAACCAATATCTTTTATCACCATTAGCATAATTCTTAGTTCTTCCTGCCTTTTTGCTTTTGTTTTCTTCCATATCCCCTTACCATGCTTGAAATGCCATCTTTCAATTTACTTATATTAAACATGGTTGGGCCAAGAAACAGATGGCACATTCGAAATGGGTAATTGGGAAAAGTTTGAAGAAGCTATTTACTCAGTTATGGACAGAGGTAAGGAAAACAAGGGATGCTGAAGCAACCCACAGATACAAGTAGTGGGGGAATGATTACCACACTTAAAGGGACAAGGGAATGAAAACAGATGCTGGAAAAAAGCCACTAGTCAGAAGCTGTGATCTTTGGTAAAGGTACAGAGCCATTGCCAATTTGTGGTCAGGTAGAGAGGGAGCTGGGGAAATACCTCACTCTTTTCCTCTTCCTAGCCTGTTGAACTACTGATACCTCCCACACATTTAACCTAACCAGAGTCCAGAAAATTGGAGTTTGCTCAGATTACAGCCACACAGGACATAGAGCAATGTGGAGAAAGGGTACAGAGTGAATCAGGAGCGACAAATGGAAGATATCCAGTATGCTACTCATTCTTCAAAGCCGAGCTCAAGGTCTGCCTCACCTCCTCCATTCAAACTTGCTTTCCTTACTTTGCTATATGCTAATTGTTCTATTTGTACCAGACATTAATTTGTCTGCCTGCTTTTCTGAGAATAGAGTCCTATCTCTTGACCCACATGGTTACTTTAGCAGTCATTTTATGCAGTGCACATGTCCAAAGGTTGTACATGAGCTAAGACCAATGAGTCATTTCTCCTGGATTTTGAATTTGAGGTCAAGATATAATTGGGTGAGTTTCTCTCTGGGGGGCTGTTTATAACACGCAGAACTCTGGAGGTATGCAGCCCTGTTTTCTACTGCTCCTCTTTCAGCTTCCTTGATACCGCACTCTGTTGGATTTCCTCCTACCTCAGTTGACTGTAATTCTTAGCCTTCTATACTGACTTCTCTAATCTATGAATGTTGGAGTTCCTTAGGACTCAATCACTTATCTTCTGTCCTCTAATAACTCTCTAAGTGATTTTACTTGTTTCCATAGTTTTAATTACTATTTTAAAAACTGCACAAGAAATGTTTTTATTTTAGAAAAATACAGAAAACACTAATCATAAGCATAATGAAGAAAATAAAAATTTCCTGTAATCTCACTACCCTCATGAATCAATTTATTTCTGTGAAAGAGTGAAAAGTTTGTTGTTATTTATCCAAATAATAAAACCTTTAAAAAATGAAGTATATCAGTCAGGAGTCTTAATTGTAAGCTGATTTAGTCAGCAAAGGAATTTATTGGAAGGATATTGGTCATCTCAGACTTTAAAAATGGTTAGAAACAAGGGAGGCTATGCAGTATCCAAGACCACAACATAAAACCAGTTTCCACTGCTGAATGCTATATACTACAGCTTGTACCATCACTGCTGACCATAGTGGATGCTGCTACTGCTGCCATGGTATCACTGTTGGCCATGGAAGCTTGAAGTTACTACAGTCTCCCCATTGTCTGCCAACAGATGGACTTGCAGTCGTCCTTGTTATTTGTGATACAAGGTCCTGATCCAATATCCAAGGCAGGTACATCTGATTAGCAGAGCCTGGCTTCATGCTTATAAAGCTAGTATCTGGCATTTCAGCTTCTCTGGTGGTCAGTAGTCTCTTATATTGTAGAGTTCTTCTAAAATACAAAGGGAATCAGATGCTGTGTAGTCAAGACTGTGAAAATGAGATCCCTGAGTATTCAGTATAGTTAGTATACACAGAACATCAGCAATACAATCACCAATTCAGAAGTTGATGTTTCAGGATTTTAATGTGGTTGATTGGTATCTGCTAAACTCAGTGGACAAGTAACTTCACAAATGAAGACTTCTTTTATATCCTCAGTTCCACCTTCCACAACATTGCAGTTATGTTTCTAAAATGCAAATCTTGTTATCTTATTCTCCTCCTCAAAATCTTTCAATGGTTAATTCCCTATTTTTTGTAGGATAAAATTAAAACTCTTTAGTTTGACATACAAATCCCTCTCAATATTTGAATCCTGCCAAATTTCTAGTTACAACTACGAATACTCTGTCCCCCAAAATAATGTATTAGCTCGAGTTGTAGCTTATTAGTTCTGTTGTCTTGAAAAATATCATGCTAGCCTTTTGCAAATATAGAACCTTTTGCCTGGAATGTCTACCCTTTTTTGTCCTCTTTGCAAATTTATCTTTAAAGATTCAGTTCAAATATCACCTTTCTGTGTAATGCCTTCTTGATGCCTTCAAACAGTTTCCTTCTTTGTGTCTTTTATACATTTCTGTAACATAACACTCATCACATTGTGTTGTAATAATTTCTCACATAAATTTTTCTTATAAACTTGGGAATTGAGATTTCTTTATCATTTTATCTCAGAAGATGTTGAATAAGTAATGAATGAAAACGCCCTAATTCTAGCTGGTTAGTTCATTTAGCTAGTACATTCTTTCTAAGATCTAAGGTCATGCATTCTATCTTTCTGATTGGCTTTGCATAATTCATAACCACAGATTATGTTCCCACCTTCTCTAATCTTGCAAGGAAACTAGGGGAGATAGACCTTGATGGACCAGTAATGTTATCTTGATTTATAAAATATAGCAAATTATAATTATAGGTTTAAAGATGAATTTTGAAGCTGTCAGGAAAGTACCTTGCTTTGATAAAATATGTATACTAATTTTCTGTTTGATATGTCTCTTATGTTAAGGAACTAAAAAAGGTAGCCTCAGACTTGATAAAGTCCAAGGTCACATGTCAATATAAGATGGGAGAAGAAAACATCAATCTAACAATTAAAGAACAAAAATTTCAAGAACTTCAAGAAAGACTCAACATGGTATTTGGTTAAATGTATTCAAGTTTATAAAATTAATGAGAATTTCAGGATTATAACAAAAATCGTCCTTGTAAAGTGATATATTAATATATAATAAAAAGATTAAGGTATTAGGATTTTTTTCTTTTTATTAGATATTTTTTGCCATTAGCAAGACTTTAGGACAATAAAATTTGGCTTTAACCATTTTATTTCTACTGTAATATGGTTTTGAGTAATCTTGTGGTATGATGGTATCTCCAGAACAGCTTTGGAGATGAGAAAGTTTGTAGTTTTTAACATTTACAAGTTTGCACCAGACTGTATTGGGTATATAATAGCTTCTTCAGTTGACTGAAGTCACTGTTTCAACCACAAACAAATATGGGTCCTCTGGGGTAATAATAGGTCATAACACTCCCAAATTTGTTGAGCACTGAATTTAATGTAGAATTTGTTCAATTTTATATCGTAACTAAAATTATGCAAATTTTAAAAGGAATTGGAATTAAATAAGAAGATTAATGAAGAGGTTACCCGTATTCGAGAAGAAAAACAAGTAAGCAATTTTGGAAGCCAGTAAATATTTTAAAAATCAGATACAATGTGGGAAATAAACAAGTTAAATAATAAATGCAGTCACGCCTAGCACAGTGCATAGCACATAGTAAGCACTCAGTTAATGTGTATTGAATGGATACTTTTTTAAGCAGTCACACATACGCTTCCATTAAAAAATAATTTTTTCCTTGATAGTTTAGACCAGTGGTACCAGTGGCAGATAATTATTGAAATGCATTTATGCTCAGTGTCTGCTTTTTCAGGATAGTATGCTCTCATTTGAATCTGTTTGATGTTTATAATTCTTAAAGGTGTGTGAGAGAAAATTACTCCTGTTTCTTTTTTCTTTTCTGCCTTTCCTCTATTTGATTCTGAATGCATACCATGGCATCCCATTATGACATTTTATAATATTATAGCCCATATGACATTTTATTAGTGATATATTTACTGTTTGGGAGGGGCAAGCCAACAAATGTTTAGTTTTGAATTCTTCATATTTTTCAATAATGTCTTAGAGTCTATAGTCATTTAAAAAAACTATTAATTATTTGACGGAGTCTTGGAAATAGTACTTTGTAGGAAATTATGTATTAGAAATTATTTTAGATATTAAATTATAAAATATCTCATTAGTTTAATATAAAGTATTGAAATTAAACTGTAAGGATAATGGGTTAAGAAACTAGAAAATGTATTGGAAGAATGAGTTTAGAAAGATAACTGCTATCTTAAAACTTTTAAAAAATTGATATTGTATATTTATATATTTTTCAAGGATATCATCATTTCTTTCCAACATATGCAACAGTTACTTCAGCAACAAATTCAAGCTAATACTGAAATGGAGGCAGAATTGAAGGTGCTAAAAGAAAATAATCAGGTTTATATATACATATATATTTTAGTATATTTCCATCTAATGAGCTTCCTCTGCTTAGTTGCATTCCTCTTTCCAATTTTATTGAGATCGTTTGAATTCTAGAGGTAAGATATTGACCTCCTTCATCAATTTGGTATCAGTGCCTAAAGTAATGAATATATATTTTTCAACATTTAAGTCACTAGTTAAATGTTAAAATTTATCAAGTATCTGCCTTCATTTTGTAACAGGGTGAATGGGATTTTTTTCTTTGTCTTAGAATTGTGGCCATGATCTAATACTGAAAATAAAAGGTGAAAATGTCAACCACATTTTAAGAGAACAATCAGCCAGCTCTCAGAAGTTTGGGGCAGATCCCTCTTTACAGGAACATGATAAAATTGGCACTACTACCACAATAATCACCTCATCATCCTCTTTCTAGTATATATAAGAAAATGACTGGGGAGGGGAAGACATTATGGGAGACTGCCATCTTTTTCCTTGGATAGGTGCTTGAGATGCTGTAGAAAGCTAAAGGTCCACTTTAGTGTTGCCAGTAGAGTAGAACGTGATATGTTCATGTGGAGTATGTTGGCGTATGTTTCTTAAAGTTCAGACGTTTACCACAACATAACAACTGATGCCCAGTTTTAATCTAGAAATTTTGAAAAAAAGGTTTTCGGAGTAATCTGCACCAATGAGGCTTAAAGTGTATTATGCTTGTGCTAATGCTCTATGGCCCTAGAAGAGTGCACAGGAGAGAACCTTGGTGGTTCCTTGGCTCCACATGAAGGAATGTAGAGGTTGGGGGGAGGGCAGAGAGATGGGCAGGAACTGCTCTGGGTGTCACTGGGCCAAATGATGGGTTGTCCAACTCGAAGAAGTTGGGAGCATGTTCAACTGGGGTGGCCAGCAGAAGATATTTCTGCCCTTTTGAAGAGCTTCTTGGTAGCAAAGGAAACAGGGTAAAGCAGAATGTTTCCCATGAAAACTACAGTCACCTCCCACATAGATACTACCATCAGTAGAGACCAGGGCCAGCTTCATAAGTATATGACCAGTGCAGTTGCAGAGGGACCCACACTCAGAAGGGCTTCCTGCTTCAGGTTTAATATTTCATGGTCACTGTCTTGAAGTTTTTATTAATTTTTATCTTTGAATTTACTCTTTGTAAATTAAGTCTTACGGGACAATGGAGTATGTGCTGGGGGCTTGAATGAGGCTTGAAGCCTCAGCTCAGGCATTGTCTTTTCCCTACTACCTCCCAGGTCTGGTTCTTAGCTGCTGGTTCTTCTACCCTCTGCCAACCTGGGCCCTGCCTGGCTGCCTCCTCGCTGCTCCTATCCTACCACTGCTGCAGGTCAATTGGGTCACATTTGCAGGGAAACGCCTATGTTCTGCTGTTAACCTTTACTTGGTGGGTGCCTTGGTGTAGACAGGGGGAGTCTAGGTTGAGTACATGTGCCCCACAGCATTGTGGGGCAAGGCATGGCAATAGTTGGCCCTGTTCCAGGTTGGCTATGCCTTAGCACGTTAGGCAGCAGACTTGGCAGGGGGCTGGGGCAGGGTGAATCCCCAGTCCAAGTATTGAGTACATCACTCCAGGTGGTTGAAATCCCTTGGGAGTCACGCATCTGCCATGGGTTGGGGTGAAGATAAGATTGACTTCCCCACCCGTGGTCAGGGTACGGTAGAAGGGTCCAGCAGCTGGCAAGAAGGGAAACTTGGTAACTGGTGGATCTTGCTCATGCTGAGTTGTGTGATGAGGCCCTTAGACACGTGAAAGGGTCTGCATTTGCCTTGTGAATATCCTCTAGCCCAGGGGTCATGACATCATGATATTAAATAGAAAATAAAAAGCTCCATGACAGGTTGAGAGGGAGAGAGGGACTGCAAGGAAAGGAAAAAGTTGTTTTTTTTTTTTTTTATTTCAGCATATTATGGGGGTACAGATGTTTAGGTTACGTATGTTGCCCTTGGCCCCCTCCCCCGGAAAGGAAAAAGTTTTATATTTTAGTATCTTTAATAGTACTTTTCCTCTGCTTTTTTCATTTTGTACCGGGCCCAACAAATTATGCAGAGTCTATCATCATTGAATGGTATCACATTTAACCTGAGCAATGCAAATTAATCTAACCATTTATATTCTGTGGTTTTTCATGTAAAGTTTTGCCTGGCCCCAATACTATAGAAGACGGAGAGAGAGGTGGTGGGCTAGAGTCAGACCTCTCCCTTCCTTTAATCCCTTCACCTATTCCAGTAAAAGACTAGTAAAAAAATTTTTCTGAAAGTCCAGCTGTATAAGCAAGTATTGCCTTCCCGTCTCCTCTTCCCACCCTAAAGTTAGAAACTGAGGCTATTTTTGTAATATATTGAACCTTCGTCCAAGAAACATATGATATAATTTAACCAAATTCTTTATGTATAGCTATTACCAAGAGCATCTCCTAATCTATTTAAAGGAGTTGATATGTAGATTTTTTTAGAGTGAGGAAATTATTAAAGATTAGCTAATCCAACCATTTCATTTCATGATAAAATAGAGGCCCAGAAAATATAAGCATTATAGTTCAAAGCCTCATAATTAGTGGCAAAACCAGGATTAAATATTTGCCCTGATTCTAATCCAGCACTATTTCTACAACATTGTACCATTAAGATATTTTTCCTGGATCTATGAGAGCTGCCAATTTTGTTAGATCTGTTATGACAAGACCACAGCTATTATAATACATTGCCCCTTCATGAGCTTTAAGTCCAATACTTATGTGTCATTGAATTCTGAAGAGCCTACAGTAGTCACAGATATATAGTTATGTGTTTCTCTGAGTTAACAGTGACTATAAATATGATTCCAGGATCTTTTAACTATGACTGCTAATATCTTAGATAATCCAAATGCCTTTCTCTATTTTTTTCCCAAATGCCTTTTTCTTTAACTATCATAATTATTACTTGAGCCTTGATAGTACAAAGAGAAACTAGATTTTTTGCAGTAAAATTTCAAAGCATCATCAAGAAGAGGATAGATTTGTCAGTTTTTTATCTTTGATTAGTAAAGATATTTAAAAAAACCGAACAATACCATCTATCATTACTGTCACTTTATAAAAGAACATTTTATCATCAAAAGTATATTAAGGATATAATCTCAGGATAAAGGACAGTCCTTTATAAGAAAAGACATTGATGCCCTTATATTGACATTTTTTGCCACGGACTAGTGAAAATTTTCTCATGGATCAGTACTTGTCTGCAGACTGGTGTCTGAGAACCATTGATATATAGCATAACAAAATATTAATGTTGAACTGTTGCCGCATTACGCTGCATAGATATCTCAAGTGTTTTCTTGAGGAGCATTCTCATTCCACCTGTACTAAAAGGGATCATTACTCCTGATAATGGCCAACTGTTTTTCAGTGCTCTGCAATCATGCTGTCATCTGTCTTACTCTTTTAGTAGTAAAATTTAGAACATAGCTAAATTCTCATGATAGAAAATATTTTCTACTATGATTTAATTATAATTTAGTACAGTTATGAATATAATTATATTCTCTTAGTCATAGTATTAAGAATAATTTGCTTAGTTTGTTCCTATAGTCATAGTATTAACTAGGACAATTTACTTTGTTTTTGGTAGATTAAAGCAATAGCAGATGGTTTCATTTTGACCTTTCACAATATCCATGTTTTCAGAGATGGTTTGCAGATTTGTTAATCCAGATGCAAATAACACAAAATAATTTCCTGATAGAATATAAACTTCATGAGGACAGCAACATTTTCAATGATGTAGCATAGGAACCTAAAGCAGTGTTTGGCCACATAGTAGTAGCTCATTAAATCTTACTAAATGAAAGAATGATGAACAGTGACTAAACTCACAGTCTTTCCAAGTTCAGATATTGCCTGATCAGGGATACCAGTGAAACATGTTGAATTGAACCCCACAGTCACTTCTACCTCCTTTTGAAACTGCGATAAATGGCATTAATAAATCCACAAGGACAAGGAAATAGGGGGAGGAAAAGATAAAAAAAAAAGTGTTAAAAGTGGAAACCAGATTGACAGTAATTTACTTAGCACAGAAAGGAAATAGAAACCTAAGTCAAAGATGCAGAAATGGTCAGGAATTACAAGTATTGTGTGCCTCTTGAAGTAGGGTATACAATTGAAGCCAAAAACTGGAAGATCTATATAAGAAGCCATTACAACCCCAGATTCTCTTCCCCAGGCTGTGCAAATAGGCAGTGCCTCTCTCTTACTTGGCAGAAGATTGGAGGTTTATGTTGGAGAGTTTGAGGGATAGCTGAGGCTGGGAGGGGATCTTGTGGTGTGCTAGAGCCAGCTTGTGCCAGTGAGAGCTGGTTATTAGATATTAAGGAATTTTGAGAATTGATTGTTAAACCAGTGACAGTTTGACATCGACCATGATGGAAATATATAACACTAACAAAAATAGTAAATGCTACAAATCAGGCTTTTTTTTTTTTTTTTTTTTTTAGAATCAGTTCACCAGTACATTACTGGGAGTGTGATATTGAAAACAGGGTGGAAAGTCTAAATTCTAAATGGTGAGACCTCCCAGCCTAGTTTCCTCATTTAGAGGACAGCTAGCCTAACTCCCAGGCAAGAGAATGGTTCTCCTTTCCAGGGAAAGTAACCTGCCCAAGAGAAAAGACTGTAGCTGCTGCAGTTAAGCTCTCCAATGAAATATCTCAGTCAGATCAACCTATAGTGAAACCCACCATTTGACAAAACTTTCAACCAGCCTTTTAATATCACATTATTAAATATGACCAGATAGTTGAGGATTACTGGGCATTTGAAGAAAGTTTCCAATGTGAAAAACGGACAAAACAGAGTAATGAAAAAACCTTGTAGAAACTAAGAAAATATATTTAGTTAAAGGAAATGTATTTATTCACAAAACAAGAATTAGATGTCTATAAAGAAATACTCATAAGAGAGCCCTTAAATACATTAAGGGACATAAAAGGTATAGTGGAATGGCTGGAAGATAATGCTGAGATAGTCTTCTAGAAAGTAGAACCAAAAGACAAAAAGATAGGAAACAGGAGAGAAAGAAAATTAGAGAGTCATTCCAAGATGTCTGGTGAGTTTTAGAGAACAGAGAAAATGAAAGGAGGGGAAATGATCAAAGAAATAATACAAAAAAGTTACCCAGGCTTTGAAGGATATGAATTTGTCTTGCCCAATACCAATGCATATCATTATAAAATTTTGTACTACACGTAAGGAGAAGATTCTAAAACTGTAGGGAAAAAAAGTAGGTCATATACAAAGGATTAAGAATGAGAATGGCTCTGGGCACAGTGCCTCACACCTGAATCCTAGCAGTATGGGAGGCCAAGGTGGGAGGATATCACTTGAGCCCAGGAGTTTGAGGTTGCTGTGAGCAGGCTGATGCCATGGCACTCCACTCAGAGTGAGACTCTGTTTCAAAAAAAAAAAAAAAAAGAGAATGGCAACATAATGGCTTCAGATTTCTCAGTGGCAACAATGGAATACAGAAGACAATAGAACCATGCCTTCAGAAGTTGGGGAAAAATTGATTGCTGTACTATATTCTGTCAAACTAATTGTAGAATAAAGACATTTTCAGACATGTAGGATCTCCAGAAATTTACCATCCACATGTCCTTTATCAAGAAGTAATATTAACGTAAAGTTTGCACTACCAAGACAAGGGAGTAAACCAAGAAAGAGGAAACTATGGCGTCTAGGAAACAGGAGACCCATGACAGAAGAGAGAAGGATAACCTGATTTGTGCAGCAGACTGAGAAAGTAATAGGTCAAAATTGTAATGGAAGGATGAATGTCTCCAAAAAACTGAAACAGAGAATACCTGAAATAGACAGTTTCTTTTAGATGGGGATATGGTGGGGACAGGAAATGACTGACATCTAGTATACTGTTTTAAGAACATGGTGCTCTTGGTCATTTATTATTAGTAGAATAGAGACTGTGGTTTATTCTCCCATATCTTCTGTAAACTTTGTATATCTTAAAATACAATATGTTATCAGTAAAATAGATAATGTAAAATATTTGTTAGAATGTTAAAGTACTAAGCATCTATTAATTATATACCACTGTAAATATTTAGAAACTTCTCTGTTATAGTCATGTGCCACATAACAACGTTTCAGTGAATGATAGACTGCGTATATGACAGTAGTCCCCCGTAAGATCATAATGGAGCTGAAAAATTCCTATCACATAGTGACATTGTAGCCATAACAACATCATAGTGCAATGCCTTACTCATGTGTTTGTGGTGATGGTGGTGTACACCTACCTACTGCACTGCCATTCATATAAAGTATAGAACATACAATTATGTACAGTATATAATACTTGATAATAAATGACTGTGTTACAAGTTTATATGTTTACTATACTTTATATTGTTATTTTGAAGTCTATTCCTTCTACTTATAAAAAAAGTTAACTGTAAAACAGCCTCAAGCAGGTTCTTCAGGAGGTATTCCAGAAGAAGGCATTGTTATCATAGGAGATGACAGCTCCTTGAGTGTTATTTGCCCTGAAGATCTTCCAGAGGGACAAGATGTTCAGGTGGCAGCCAGTGATATGGATGATCCTGAGCTGTAGGCCAAGGCTCATGTGTGTGTTTGTATCTTGGTTTTTGACAAAAAAGTTTAAAAAGTTAAAAAAAAATTTTTTAAATAGAAAAAAGCTTATAGAATAAGGATATAAGTAAAAATATTTTTATAAGTTGTTCAAAGTGTTACTACAAAAGAGTCAAAAAGTTAAAAATTGAAAAGTTTATCAAATTACAATCAGCTAAGATTGATTTATTATTGAAAGAAAAATTTTAAAATAAATTTAGTGTAGCCTAAGTGCACAATATTTATAAAGTCTATAGTAGTGTACAGTAATGTCCTAGGCCTTCACATTTACTCACCACTCACTCACTGATTCATCAAGAGCAAGTTCTAGTCCTGCGAGTTCCATTCATGTTTTAAGTGCCTTATACAGATAATACTATTTTTTATCTTTTATACCATATTTTTACTATATCTTTTCTATGTTTAGATATCTTTAGATACACAAATTCTTACCATTGTGTTACAGTTGCCCAGAGTATTCAGTATAGTAACATGCTATACAGGTTTGTAGCCTAGGAGAAATAGGCTATATCATCTAGGTGTGTGTAAATACACTCTGTGATGTTTGCACAAAGATGAAATTGCCTAAGGACACATTTCTCAGAATGTATCCCTGTCATTAAGCATCACATGACTGTGTATATATCTATAAATTAAGGAAATGTTACTTTTATAAAAATATTTGTTGACCAGGCATGGTGCCTCACGCTTGTAATCCTAGTACTCTGGGAAGCCGAGGTTGGAGGATTGCTTGAGCTCAGGAGTTCAAGACCAGCCTGAGCAAGAGTAAGACTGTCTCTGATAAAAATAGAAAAATTAGTTGGATGTCGGGGTGTATGCCTGTCTTTAGTCCCAGCTACTGGGAAGACTGAGGCAGGAGGATTGCTTGAGCCCAGGAGTTTGGGTTGCAGTGAGTTATGATGATGCCACTACACTCTACATGGGGCGATGGCGATACTCTGTCTCAAAAAAAAAAAAAAATTATTATCCTGAGATAGAGGGAATCAAAACAGGTATTTATTGGGTGCTCTCAAAGTGCATAGCATAGCTCCTTATGAGCTAGAGGAGAATCTCCATGTTAAAATTGTAAAATGCATATAAGGTGCCATGATTTTGCATAATTGTAACTTTGTGTATTGATGTTCTATTAATAGAATTCAATTCTATTAATAGATATAATTGAGAACTCTTTAAGCAGATGAAATACTGTGAAACCTTTTAAGTGAGATGGATTTATATATAGTGATACGGAAAGTAAGCAAAATTTTTTTAAAAAAACATAGAACAATATGATATGGTCTCATCTGTATTTTAAAAGATATATTTTATATACTTGTATGTTTATAGACAATTTCTGGAAGGATACACAAGAAACTGCTAAAGTGGTTACTTCTGGGGAGGAGAACTGATAGAGGATAACTTTACCTTTTCTTTCTGTATCCTTTTGTGTGGCTTGAAATTTTTACCCTGAGTGTACATATCTTTAATAATAATAAACAAATGAACTTAAAGTTCCAGATGTATTAGAAATGTAGGTAAGAGTTCTTACTATTTATTTTTCTACAGAAGTTTACTTGGATTATCAGCAGACATTGAAGAAACATAATATTAGTGACACTAATTTAATAGCTTTAAAATCCTAGTCTTATAAAACACTTGGTAGTATTCTTACTCTTTATAAGTTTATTTTGGGGGAGGGGTAGCATGGTGTTAATTACACTAATTCAATGAAGTAATTAAGTTAATATGGCAGATATTTAAATTATGCTTAAAAAGTATTAATTTGAAATTAAAATTGTATTTAAGGTTTTCTAGCCAGTTAATTTCGAAAATGGATAATGGAAAAAGTGTTATGTGGTAGTTAAATTTCTTTGGTAGGGTTAGGCTGGATTATGCTACATTTCATACTTTTCAGTGCTGCACTTTATATTACTTTTTCAGTACATTAAAACTTATGCAGTGAAACTGAATAATGGCAATGTTTTTATACCCTTTTATAGCCATTTCTTTATCATAACCTCCCCCTATTTCCTGTTAGCTAAACTATAAGTACCTTTCCATTAATTTATTAAAATTATTGTTGAGATAGCACATTATCACTGATCTGTATGGCACTTTCAGCATGTTAGAAGCAAAGGTCCAAGCAACATAAAACACATCAAAATTCATTAATGTGGTATTGATTATTTTTTGGATAATTAATTTTATTGCAGACCCTTGAAAGAGATAATGAGCTGCAAAGGGAGAAGGTAAAAGAAAATGAAGAAAAGTTTCTTAATCTTCAAAATGAGCATGAGAAAGCACTGGGAACTTGGAAAAGACATGTAGGTTTATTAAATGGTAA